CAGATACTTAGGTTTTTGGTTAAAACTTGTATCTGTTATATAATACCAGTCAATGTTTTTAATATTTTGACTGTGCTGTGAGTTTGATGATGATGATGATGATGATGATGATGATGATGATGATGATGATGATGATGATGGCTTGTGCTGCTACTATTTTATTTAAAATAGTTTACCCTGACTCAAGGTGGTTTACATCATTAAAAGGCAGTGTATATATATTACTAAAGGATCAAACAAATGCCACCACAAAAAAGTAAATAAAAGCAATACATATTCAAAGCAGTGAAATACAACAATCCATTTTAAAAACCTTCAGTCAGTCAAACATAAAGGGAAAGCTTGCCTAAAGAGAAAGGTATTTACCTGCTTCCAGAAGGACAGCAGAGATAGAGCCAGGCTGGGCACCTGTGGGAGGGAGTTCCAAAGGCCTTCTCTTGTGTTCCCACCAAATGCATCTGCAAAGGTGGCAGGATCACTAGAAGTGAGTTGCACCAGTGATACTACTATTTCTAATGCTCTTTGTCTATAATGCTGTTTTGTGGGGGGGAGGTGAATGGACAGAAGAGTGATTAGGAAACTAAAGGAAAAAACATGGGCAAATGTGGGATATTTTTCTAAATGTGGGGAAATTGTATATTTTATGATGGGACTAAAGGTGGCTCCTCCCAGATCTTAAAGACTTCATTAAAGTAAACAAAAGGTCAATTTTCTAATCTGTTAATTTAATCAAAGCAGGTGTGCCTAGAATTCCACAGGCAAAGGAGAAAGACAACAGAAGCTCTCTCTTTTAGATCATGTATCTGCACTTTAGTCTCGACTGAAATCCTGTGCTTAGCACAGTAAGGCTCAGTTAGAGTAGACCTGTGGAATCAGTGGGGATTTAGTGAGTCAACGCCCCCATAAGTTCCATTGATTAAATGAGCCTACTCTAGTTGCAGTTTATTATGCTAAACAATATAATTTCAACCATTTTCTAATAAAATAATGGTTGAATATACATGGGGTTCCATCACAGTTTAGTTGGTTTTGCATTTTAAGCTGAAATTCTTCAGCTTCACAAAGAATGTTTCATGTTAAAACACAGCACATGTGTACAACCGTGACATTCACATATGCCAAAACAATTCAAAATAAATCAGTTTCACAAACAATTCAAAATAAATGACCGTCTTGCAGCTAAGTAAAATACTTTGCTTTCCAACCAAAATACATGCTTCCCAGGCAAAAAAAGAGGTGCTTCCATGTGTGCCATGTAGTCACCTCTTTAAAAAACTGATTCCCAACATGCTAAACTTGATTCAAATATCAACTTTTTCCACATTTAACCGTGCTCTAATACACAAAGAATCTGTGTTAATGAAATAGAGGGACATGAAGATTTCATGTATTTTCTGTTTCCCTCTTTTGCTTCTTTCCTTCCCCTGTTGTCTCTCAAATTGCCTGAGGAAGTGTTATGCCAAACAGAGTTATGAGGGCTGCTGTCAATAACTAATCAGACTATCCGGAGGTGGCACAAAGGGCCTGGATTGGTTGGAACCAGTGAAGATATCTACTTTTCTTTCTTTCCTTGTACAATTTGTGCTGCCTGGCAAAATAGAATGTGAGCCGATGCTCCTTTACTGTTCCAAGATATAAATTTAGCTGCTCCACCGCACCAACTGGCTGAGTAGGGAAAATGGAGACTGTCTTTACTGTGGTAGTGAGCAGTGACTGGTGGCAGTATTTGGCATGAGAAACACAATAGTGAAATTACTGCACCTTGTCCTTAGCAGCTTGTCACAGAGCAGGAAAGGCAGTCATAATGATGGTACTGATGGTGGTAGTATGGCTGGCAGCATACAGATGTTAGGACCGGCTCAGCTCTTTTCATTATTTACTTCTGTAGCTGTGGCAGCCACTGATCATTCTTGCAAAAACTACAGGCAGACTGGCAAGTGGCCAAACTCACTGACTCCCTTCCTGACAAATAGTCAGGCAGTACACATGGTGATGGCTTCCTGCTAAGTAAGCAACCCTCAGGGCCGTGCTGGCCTCTATGTGAATCTTTCGGGGGAGAGAATGACTCGGGTTGGTTTTGTGGCATATACAAAAGCCATCTTGAAAGGCGGGCAGGTGGGGGGAGACAGGAAAGCTTCCTAGGGGGACCCTGCTTCGTCTGCATCCTCTTGAGTCTCCCAGAGGGGGAGATATCACTGACCATGGCTGGAGGCAGAGAGCCATGTTAGAAAGACTCATGGGCTTCATTTATCAGTGAAAACTGACTCTTGATGACTTGTGGAGGCTAAAGGACAAGACATAGAATTCTGGTATTTTATGGATGGCTGGAGGAGGAGGGCATGGGAGTAATCAAGAGACCAGAAACCTTCTTCGCTTCCTAATTTGGGGAGCTGGTGTGGCTATTAGGGATATGCATTGTGAAAACCATTCAGAGCTAGGAAAGGAGGAGGTAGGAGCAGAGCGGTCTCTGCATTTATTCTTTTAACAGACAGAAAAGAAATGGAGGGAAGCAAAACCAAAGAACCTAAAGAGCTGCACCCTTTTCTATTTAACAAAAGGACTAGTAAATGAAAGACCCCAAAATGAATGAGGCACACCCTTGAAAGAAACTGAAATGAATGAAAGCCAAATATTTCCCCCATTCACACTGCTACTGATCATTTCCTTCAAACAGGGAATGTGATGGAGATCAAGACACTGCCATCTTCCATTTGTAACTTTCTTACATCTGCCCACTGTGTCTGCCATCTATTTTAATTTCCCACCAAGTCTATTAAGTTAAAAAAAAGAACAGAAAATGGCTGCACAGCCTTTTGATTGCTACTAAGTTTACCGTGAATTGTTGGATACCTCAGAAGTTTAGGTATCTGGTTATGGAGTCAGAGGTTGGGAGTATGATTCCCCACTGTGCCTCCTTGACAAAGGCTGGACTTAATAATCCATAGGGTCCATTCCAGCTCTGCAGTTTTAAAATGATAATGATGATGGAATTCCAAAGGACTGTTTTACCCACTACTCTATTTTTCTGTTAGTCTTCTTGCAACTGAATTTTATAGTTGGCCTTGATTTCCACCAAAACTGTTCCTCAACTGTAGCAAGCAGTTAATGCAAAGGTATCACAATAAGGCTGCAAATTGATAATCACTATTATTTTATGGGTGGGGTGAGTTGTTTTTTGTTTGTTTGTTTGTTTTGGTAAGTTCTTCTAGGAAGTGGCATTTTGGGAGGATTTTCTGCCTCAGATGCAGAATAATTTGATAATAAAAGTCTTCTACATTTCGTACTTTGGTATACAAGGACCGATGCCATTTGTTGTTCAGGCAGCAGCATATCTTGGAGTGGCCCCGATTCTTCCTGTTTGCCAAGTGATCTGTTGAAGATGATTTGAAGTTGAGTTTCCTAAGGATACAAAGTTTAAATTCCATTGATCTAGACGTTTGTGGACTGGGATTCCTAGCATTCCTCATATTGGCTATACTGGTTAATGTTGCTGGCCATTGCAGTCCTGGCCATTGCAGTCCAGTAACATCTGGAGAGCTGCACTTTGCTTGCCTACCCCTCTAAAGCAAGCTGAGAATTTTGCTTATTGCTAGCGTTCCATATATATACAGTGCCAGCCAGTCACATGATAGCTATAGCAAAAGTCCTTTAGCATGGCATGTAACAGCAGGCCATTAATCGGAACAAGCTCTCGCATCACACAAGACACTTCTGATGAATCAGAGATGCAAGCAAAGTTTCCATTCTATATTAACTCTCACTGAGAGCAAAACCCAAAGAACTCAGAAAATGTGTAGTCATCCTGCCAACCAAGGCCTGCAGATATATTGTTGTATGTCTTCTTCTTTTCTCCTTCCTTCTATTTCAGAAGCTGGAAGCCATGATTGCAATTTCACTTCCCCCATTTGCCATCTACTTATTAAAGATAATCATTCTATTACTTCATTCCCTTGGTTCTTTCACTTAAAAAAAAGCAGGTGTAATCAAAAGTGTAATTAAGGCCTGATAATTACATAAAAGTGAGCTTGGAGTATATTCAGAACATCATGAATTTCATTATGTTCTATCTAACCCATGACAACCCTTTGAATGAAGGACCTCATAAAAGGGGAGAGATCAAATTGTTTAGATAGAGACTTCCAATTCTGAATCAGATGTTTGATAGGACAGCACCTCATCCACTCCTGCATTCTTCATAAACAAACTGTACCTGCATTTCTGATAAAGAGATAAAAGCAACACAAAGGGAGCTCTATTAAAGACAAAAAAAGGAAAGTGAAATAATTTTCCAGTTAGTGCATAATGAGCCTTGCAAATAATGAAGACTTCCATCCTGTTTCATGATCACTATTTGTCACTATTTGGTTTTTGCTAATTTTTTACATTACAGATTGATGCCCTTGTTGTAACTCAGAGAGTACCAATATTTTAATTGTTCTTGCAATAGAGCACTCTAAATACAAACTTGGACCCAACCCATGGATGGCCGCTTCTTCACAATTTTAATGGTTGATATTAAAAGAGGGTGGAGGAAGTTAATGGGGAATAGCAAGCAACAGTGTCTCATTTTAGCTGTTAAACATTTCATAGTAAGACGTGTGTGTGTTTCCCTAGGGTGATATGTTTACCTAATATGCTTCACTTCTGACTGCCAAATTTACAATATCTGGTTGGCCAAGAGCTTTTTAATCCCGCCTCCCCCTCCTTTTGAAAACACCTGGAATGTGGACTTTGGGGGAGGATGTGTTGATTGGTTGAGAGTGATCAGCAGGGTGGAGTGAGGAAAAGCAGAGGAAGAATTTACCTGTCTAGGTAAGTCAGTGGGAGGTCAAGAAGAGAACAGAGAAGGTGCTATAGCTTGTTTGGTCCTGTCAAGACACGGCAGAGTACTTGGAACTGTTTTTATTTCCTAGTAAAGGTGAGTTAAACTCTAACCAAATTATGTATGCTTAGGATGATAAGATGAGTACCTCGATTAAGTACAAACAGTCAAAGCTTGTCCAGTGCGGGTTGTGTACTTTCTCTGCTTGTACTGTCTTTCTTTGCTTTTGCCGATATCCTTTGGGTTGTTGAAGGATTATGGAAAGACTGGATTTTTCCTCCTGAATGTAAGTCAGACACAATGCAGACCTTTCTTTATAGAGCCAGCTAGAAGGAATCTTTGTTGATAACTCGAAGTGAACAGTCCAAGTTGTTTTAAAACTGACTTCTAGCTTCATGAACTGTGCTTAAGTAGTAACTACAAAAAGGGTATCTGGCATGTTTTCTGTTCAGAATCAAAACAAGGACAGAAAATATTCCTCTGTAATAAAAAGATCAGGGAACATGTTTGATAAAGCGACGAAGATGCAAATTTGTAATATATTCTTAGCTTGGATGTCTTGTTATTACTGGAGGGAGAAAGAAAGCTAGCTTTAAGTTTGCAGTGCTTAGAAAAGTTTTGTATACACATTTGGATTGGAAGTATTTTTTTAATGTTCTTGAGGAAGAAATGGGTTTTTTAAAATCAATTAAAGGGTAGAACTGTGAATGCTTGTAATTTAATATTTGGCAGCTGGGATTGTACAGATAAGTAGTTGTAAAACTGAATATAATGACTAATAGATTTTCTGTACCACTGTGTTTAAGTGGTACAAAATTATTAGGCGAGCTATGTTTCTTTCCGCCAAACTGTACGTCCTAGTTCTGAAATGAAGGCAACCTTATAAAAATCCCTGCAAAATAAAATAGAAACCCCTTTCTGAAAGGGATTGTGTGCAGCAGACTGTGGTGGATTCTTTGTATTGGTCTTGGGAGACTGGAAGTTTTAGCAGCTTATATTTTCATTTTATAGAGATTGCAGACAACTGCTTGTTTGATTGTTTAATGTGCAATACAGGGTTACTGGCAACCTTTCAATAAATCAAGTGATTTTTTTTTAAAAAAATCTGACTTACAACAACCCTTTTCTGTGAGGAATTCTCCGAAGTGGTTCAGGATTCTTCTGGGGTCTCCTGGGACTGTGCAGCTTTGCCCAAAGCTGTACAGGCTGGTTCTGCTTATAGGAGCCACAGTGGGGAATCAACCTCCCAATGTCTGTCTCTGCAGTCAGATACCTGAACCACTGAGCGTGTTTTTTTTTTAATCTGACTTACAACAACCCTTTTTTATGGGAGGAATTTTCAGAAGTGGTTCAGGATTCTTCTGGAGGATCCCTGGGACTGTGCAGCTTGCCCAAAGCCACACAGGCTGGCTCTGCTCAAAGGAGCCACTGCAGGGAATCAAACTCCCAACCTCTGTCTCTGCAGTGAGATACCTGAACCACTGAGCTATCCAGCCAGCAGTTAGGAAATGTAACAGATGGTAATACTGGGAACAGACATACAGTACACAACTTTGAATTTACTAATCTGAATGTTGTTCATGTAGTACTTGATGAGTGCCTTTTGCTGTCATAGACCAACTTCGAATTTACTAATCTGAATGTTGTCCATGTAGCACTTGATGAGTGCCTTTTGCTGTCATAGACAGTGAGCAAAAGTTGGAAAAGGAAGGAACCTTCAGTGGTTGTATTCATCTTGGTGGGTCAGAGGTTATGCAGCTCTATCCCAAAAGGATTTGCTTCAGAAGTGCTGAAACAAACTGTAATTGGAGAAAATCTTCATCGTATGTCCTGCCTTATCGTGTTCTCTAAGAAAGAGCTATTTGCATTTTAAGTACAGTAGTTGATTGTAATTTATGGTTTAAGATGTTATTTTGTAAGTCCATAGTGTTCTTATTTATTTTGCAAGTTTCATTTGCCTGTCTTATTCTGGTCTCTAAGAAAGAGCTATTTGTATTTTAAGTAGTTGATTATAATTTATGGTTCAGGATGTTATTTTGTAAGTCCATGGTGTTCTTATTTATTTTGCAAGTTTCATTTCAGTGGGATTGGAGAGGCAATATGATGTGCTGACTAAGGGTAGGAAAAACCAAATTCAAATCTCCACTGCTATTTAATTTCACTTGCGACAATGAACCATATGGATGATGCGTCTTGGTGCATCTTATTAGAACATTGCACTAGTACCACTCTTGTGGTAGAGCAAGCAATCTCATCTAGCATCTGAAATGGTGGTAGAACAAATAACCTGATCAGTGTGTCTTGTTTCTGTTAGGAAAAAAAAGAAGAAGCCAGAAGTATCTTATGCATAAGTCAGGGGCTATAATGGTATATGTTTATGAAATCATTCTGATTTTATGATTATGTTCTGGCATGTGCAGATTTTAAAACTACAGTACATAGTCACCTACAACTGAAGGTCACATAAGAAGGATTGGCAATGGCTATTTCCTTTAGGTGGCTCATGTATGCGTTGTTGATATCTCAAGTGTGTGCACACCTTGGAATCACTTCCTGACAAATGGGCAGCAGTGTGTCAAGAAAATACTTTATTGCTCCGTCCTGTGTTCATAGTGTCACTGAATTGTTGGCTCAGGGTTAGTTAATATTTAATATCTCTAGTTTAGAGCTATAAATAACTACAGCTTTGTTAGCTCCAAAAGCCTTCAGAACAGCTGGCTTTGTGGCTGCTTTGGGGACAGATGCCCTAAGAGGAGGTTCAGGTGTTAATTTCTTTCTGACACCAGTTTTTCCTCTACTTCACCTCCACATTTTTGAATAGGACAACGTATTGTAATGCAAACTACTTGTTCAATTAAAGTATCAAATGGTTGTTGTGGGCTGGCCACAGAGACTGGCGAAACGTTAGGAAGAACAACCTTCAGAACACGGCCAAAGAGCCCGAAAAACCCACAACAACCATTAGATCCCGGCCTTCACGAATATAAAGTATCAAACCTTTTCACCTTGTCACCTTGAAAGCACATTGCTGCTTATAGTTTTGAAAGTAAAATCTTGCTATGTCTAGTTCTCATTATCTGTGGTAGTCTGTTTCAGCAGGTATAACAAAACTAGAAGCAAAACCTAAAAGCAAAAGCATAGGGGTACTTAAAACCAACAAATTTAGTTCACTGTGAGCTTTTTTTGTAAATTATAATCCACTTCCTCACACATGTCTGAGAAGCTGATTGCAGTCCTCAAAAGCTCAAAGTGAAATAAAATAAATCTGTTGATTTTAAAGGTGCCATTACTCTTCCATTTTAATTTTTTTAAATTATGTGCCTAGTCTGTGATCATTTTAATCCCATGTGCTGAGATCTAACGAGTTCTTACATTTGTTAGTGTGATCTGCTGTCGTCCTTTTATAATAGCTCACTATATCCCATTCTTTATGGTTCTTTCCTTCTTTCTATTAAATAGTATTATATAGCTGAAGTCTTGGAGCACATGTGCCAAACCACAATATATTTCATCAGTCTTTTAAGGCAAAAGATGTTCAGATATCAACAATAAATAAAACATGGGTTTTTAATTTTTTTTTAGTGTCAAATATGAATAACTACTGTCTGTAGCACCACACCACTATCTCTCATGCTAGTAGCTCCAACTTCTCAGTCACCTAGTATATATCTTTGAACCTTCAGCTTTTCTTTCTGGCCAACAGATGTCTATCTTTCTGCCTGCAAAACATTTTTTCAGGAATGACATTTTGCTGTCTTAGGTGAAAGATAAGGAGGGACCTCTTTCTCATACAGATGGCCACCAAACTGACAGTTATATCTTGCTTCAGCACTATCAGTGATATTGTGCCCTTCGCCAAATAGGAGCCAGTGCAGTGCTTAGGAATCTCAGGAAGGTTGTATGGTATACAGAGCCCTGTCCTGTTGCTATCTTAGGTGAAAAATAAGGAGGGCCGTCTTTCTCATACAGATGGCCACCAAACGGGGAGTTATATCTTGCTTCAGCACTATCAGTGATATTGTGCCCTTCGCCAAATAGGAGCCAGTGCTATAAGTAGGAATCTCAGGAAGGTTGTATGGTATACAGAGCCCTGTCCTGCATTAGAGGGGGAAATATGAGAGTTCATGAACAACAGGTGAGAGGTTGTCACAACTGATCTACAGCATCACTCGGCCTAATGACAGGTTTGGCTCTGCTCATCACCTTGCGCCTCCCCCAGCAACATCTAGGACTGGTGATGGAGACTTTGCTAAATATTTACTTGCCGACTTATTCAATGCCTCTGCTTTAAGTACTCAGCTGGGAACACAAGCCAAATAACTTTCTCAGTGTTTGCTCTCCCAGATGTTTTGAAGCATCAACTTCTAGAATCCCTGACCAAAACATGAAAAACAGGTGAGAGGTTGTCACAACTGACCTACAGCATCACTCTACCTAATGACAGGGTTGGCTCTGCTCATCACCTTGCCTCTCCCCCAGCAACATCTAGGACTGGTGATGGAGACTTTGCTAAGTATTTACTCATTGACTTATTCAATGCCTCTGCCTTAAGTACTCAGCTGGGAACACAAGCCAAATAACTTTCTCAGTGTTTGCTCTCCCAGATGTTTTGAAGCATCAACTTCTAGAATCCCTGACCATCGACCATGCTGACTGGTCTTTCTGGGAGTCTGAGCCAGCTGCTTGCCTGTGATATGAGGCATTTAGACTATGCTTGATGCAGTCGCTCTGCAGAATGTCTTGATGGGAACTTTGTTCCTCGACTGGCACCTGCCCTTCTTGAAAAGCTTCTGGGGTTCCAGTAGGGTACACTGCTGATACTTGTTCTACCCCTGCTCCTTTATATATTTTTTCTGGGCTAGTACCAGCTGCCATTTATATTTACATCTAGAAAAAGCCACTCACATAGCTTTACAGTGGTGCCTCCCAAGACGATTTTAGTTCATTCCGCAAAAATCGTCGTCTTGTGAAAAAATCGTCTTGCAAGATTCCTTATGCATCGGTCTCAAAAAAAAAGTCTTGTGAAGCATCAGTCAAAAAAAAAGTGTTGCAAAGCACAGTCATAGAAAAAAAAGGTCTTGTGAGGACCATAGTGTTTTCAAAAACCAATCGTCTTGCAGGTTTTTCATCCCATGAGGCAATAGTCTAGCGAGGCAACACTGTATGTGAAATGTAAAATGACAGCTTGCCTATCCCACTTGGTGCAACATGAGTATTGCTGCTGTAGGTCCTATGTGAAAATGAAATGTTGGATTAAGGCATATGCACCACTATGTGTAATTAGGGTAGTTTTCTCTTGATTGTATAAGACTGTCCAATGGAATAGTGGTACCTTTGCTCAGCCTGTGTTTTGCAGTCTGAGAAGACCACACCTAAAGATGATGTTTAAATGTACTTACAAAAAGAGCTGACGTGTCACTGCTTTTTTAAAAGATGATCAATATTGTTGAGGTTAAATACCTGCTACCCTTTGTTAAGAAAAGTAGCATTCCAATTTCTCACTGATGAACTTAGAGAATGTGACAGCAGCAAATGGGTGGAGTTGGAAACATGTCTTGCCAGTTACAAAACTTGTGACCACATTCTCACAAAGCAGTATGGTGTGATGTGCTGAATAAATCTGGGGGAGGGAGCAATAGGAAACAAGCTGGGGTGGATGTCATTCTTGCCTCCGCCACTGATTCTGTCACATAGTCTTGGGCAGGGCCCTTAGTTGCTTGGGCTGAAGCTTATGAGATTCACAAGTGGCTTGAATCTGTGGTTAAAAGATTCAAATCTGACCATGCAGAAGATCTGCCAAGCTAGGTTAGGAAGTGCTTTGCACAAAACAAAGAGGAGGGAGACTTTAAATACAGGAGTAGGGAATTCCTGAGGACTGGAATTTGCATCTGTTTATCTCAAAAGGAACAAGGAAGAGAGTCATGATTGAACAGATCAGCTGATTTGGTAGCAAAGAGGCTGTAGGAAGAGTCAGATAACTTGGGTTATTTGCAACTCTAAACTTTCTGGTGAGATACTCAGCGTCATGGAACCTGTGGTGACCTGAGGTTGTTTGAGATGGCAGAGTCAGAAGTAAAATAATACAAGGTGGACATTACAGTTCAGAATTCAATATTATATACTTCCTTGTTTCTCTTTGTGAGTGACTCTCATCTCTCTCCAGCTTGAGGTAGCCATTTGTTTAGCATTTTGTATGCACTGAAGCTAGCAAAATGCCTTGACATTAAGGGTTTGTCTAGGCTGAAAATCATGGAATTGAGATGTCACTGGTTACATCTGACCATAGTTAATGTTGATTAGGATATAAAGCATATTTAAACTAACTCTGGACAGGAGGAGGCAATTTATTCACAGAGAGGAGGGAATAGCCAAGTCAAGCCACAGAAACCATGGATAATATGAATGGAAACCCATGCTTGATCACAGTTTTGGAGAGGATTTACCTCAATAGATGCCCATTATCATCATCCTTGGAAAAGTTTTAGGACGTTCTCCTTGCAGTTTGTTTCATCTCTGCTTAGAGGCATTCAGGGAAACCATTATAGTTTGTTCTTTGCAATATTTGTGTAGGAATAAAACAAGAAAAGAGTGTCAGTAGGTACTAGTCACGATGCCTTTATATCATTTCTGGCAGCACAGGCAGTATGCCACTGATACCCTTTGCGATGGGACATGAGCAGCAGGTTGCGGTTGCAGTTGTGGGCTTCCCATAGACACCTGCCAGGAACAGTTAAGCACAACAGACATTTTCCCATTGCCTATGGCACTCTAGATGTTTTCCTACTGCGCCTGAAAAATTCAAGCAGGAACGAAGGATGGGCCTCCTATAAAGGACCTCTGTGTTTAGTAATATCTGGAGTGTAATGTGTGTTTTCACATTTTCCTTCACACAAGGAATGTCAGGTATGTGCTAGGTAAACTCACACCTTGGCTTCTGACCAAAACAAATAGGCATATAACCAGTAATACCTGCATATTTTCAGCATTATTATTATTATCAACAGTTGCTTCTCTAGCTAATTTTAAGGAATACTTTCTTATAGAACAAATGTGTCCCTTGCAAATAAGAGTGCCCATTATATTGACCTTCCAGAACCTGAGGTACTAGAGGAAATCTTTAATTTGTAGTGATCATGTCTGGTCATGGCCTGTATTTTGAAGTACAAGTTTTGGTGGCTTCTGGCATGGAAACCTGCACCAAAGGTGGCCCTAAGATTTTTAAAAAATACACACTGGATGATAAGTGCTTTTACATTGCCTGCTGTCCCATTCCCTTAAAGTGCTTGTAGTGTTAACATACTTACAATGGGATATAATCCACAGCAAGCATCTCAAAATTATTTTCATTGGTTTTTTATCTGGAACGAGTGATGTCAGACTTAAAAAGAAACAGAAAAGCTATTTGATGAAAGGTCTTTTTTACAGTTAGTTCCAAACAACATATAAAAGTTTTTGGGCAAGGAGGTAAAAAAAGCTTATTTCAATTTGCCTCACTGTAGACAGTAAACTTACTAAATCATCAAGCTTAGCTTGATGTGCTTCAGCTCACCCACCCCTGAGGCCAGCTTGGGCTTCTCCTTTCCTTTATTAAAATACCTGGCTTAACTGAAGCTACTCAAACCTTTTGTACCTGTTGCTGACACAAGTGCCGGTGGGCAGTAAACACAACAGAAAGCAAAGTGAAATTCATAGTAAAAACTCATTTCAGAGAGGACTGGTAGGCCCATTTCATCAGATTCTCTCTCAACAATCCAAAAGAAGATCCTTTCTTTATGACTGCTCTGCTCATGAACAAGAGAGTGTAATAATTTTCTGAACAAGAGAAAGAAAAACCGAATTTGTTGCTTTGCCATTTTCCCAGTCCCCAAAGAGGAGGAAGACTGACAACAGTGGAGGAGAAAGAAGTTTATTTGTAAAGGAAAAAAGAAGACTTTATACAACTACATGTTGTATGGTATGAAAATGGCTCAACCTTTAATATTGATCTAGTAATCTGTCCAAAATATTTATTCTTATCTTTTAGTTAAATAGTGACTAGAACGAGGATTGGCCTGCAGACATGGGGCTTGTTGTAGACTGGTGTTCTGAATCAGGAAGCCATTTGTCTACAGATTTGTTTGTGTGAAAAGGACTTAGCATAACCCGTGAGCTAATGTTTGAGCAGTAGAGGCTGGGAGTTGAGAATGGGAGCTTTCAGTCTTTGGGTATCTTGGCTTGTACGAGTATTCAGGTTTGACCTGTGTTAGTTAGGCATCCGTCAGTCTCGAAAGACTATCGTAACGTGCTCTGTATGGAGGACTTGGAACAGCATCTAGTGTGGCTGAGGAGGCCAGTTCGAGAATGACAATCTCTTCCACACTGAAGACAAATCCAATCTGTCCCCTGTCCAGCTCCCTGGTTTTGCTTCCTTTGTGACTTCCTCTTTGCCTCGGCCTGCTGGACAAGGGTCTCTTCAAATTGGGATAGGCAGTGATGTACCGCCTGCCTCCAGGCTGAACGCTCAGATGTCAGGGTTTCCCATCTGTTGAGGTCCATTCCTAAGGCCTTCAGATCTTGCTTGCAAATATCCTTGTACCACAGCCGTGGTGACCTGTGTAATGTAAATATTATTAATATGCCCACCTTACAAGGGAAATGTTTTAATTTAAAAGGATTTAATCTTGATTCTTAAATTAATTTTATTAATGTAATAGAATTTAATATTAATTCTAATTAAAGGTACTTTAAACAGAAAGAGTGCATGGGATCAATATGCAGTATCATGTAAATAAATAGTTTGATGGCTAAGTCAAGGTCATTCTCAGAGGTTTGTAGGAGTGAATGTGCTTCTTAATAGAACCAACGCAACAGGTTGAAGGAGAGGGATGGATAATCTGAGGCATATATTGATGAATGGGTTGTAATAGCTGAATATAGGTATTTTCTTCATACAATTATTTATTTATTATAGGCTACCATTGAGTGTAGGAGAGGATGCAGATACATTGGCTATTTACTGATGTCCTAAAGAAAAGAAAAGGAATTCATACATAGGAGCAGCATTCATTAGCAATCTTGTTTTCAAATATGTCCTTAAATTGCATTGTATGTTTATGATTTTGTCTTGTGTTTCCTATTCAGAGATCTTGGGTCGTCCTTGGCTGCTGTCTGACCTGAGTTGTGATATGCCTAAAAAAGATTTATGGGTAGGAACATCTGATCCAGATCCTGCATCAATTGTTGGCAGTGCAGGCAGTTGTGACAGCATGATCAGTAACGATTCCAGCTCATCTGAAATGGTAAAGTTTAATTTTCCTGTTCCATGTAATCTTACAAGGTTTAAGGTATTTTGCCACATTGAGTAATAGAACAGATGGCTAAAATATTTATGAAATGTAGATATTTAAGCACCATTTACCCAAACCTGACTAAAAGCAGTCCCCCAAGGCAGAGTACAAACATTTCGGGCAACATTTCTGTAATTACCTGCAGGATATGATATGCTACAATAAATCTTCATAGGTAGTTAATGCCAGAATAGAGAAGGTTGAATATCACACATTAGCCTTTTCTTCCAACAGAAAGGAAAAGGTTTATGAGTCTTGTGGCTATTTTATATTGTCTATAGTATGAGAGAAGAAAGGCTATTCATATTCTGGATTCAACTACCTGCTACTCAAAACCTTGCATACTGAAAAAAGGGTATTTATATTTACCTTCTTAGTTTACTTCATAGAATGTTGGCTTTGATCCCCAAGTTTTAAAAGAGAGTATTTCTTTTTCACCCAGGGAGGAATTAAAAGGTAGCAGAAAAGAATGTGAGATTTTAAAAGACAGAAATTTATAGTATGCAGGATTGTAAAGTTTATTCTCATTACCATCTGAAGATGACCACCTCTGATTTTATGGGGGGGTTGGGGTGCTTCTGTTCTGTTTTAATTTTTTCAACATACCTGGGTGGAGGACATGACCTAGATCTTGAAGATAATTCTCTAATCAAGCTTTAGTCATTGCATCTGTCTTTCTCATAAAGTCTTTTCACAAATTCTGTTTAAGCTTACTGTACAAATTAATCTGCAACTTAATGTAGGGACAAGGAAATTCTAGCCCTTCAGTCTACCAAGCATGGCCAGTACTAAGGGATGGATGTATTTATATTCTAGATGTCCAAAGATTCACAGCCCTAGATTCAACAGTATCACTCACGCTTTGAGGGTGGAGTGGATTTCTGTCCACTGAGTGTGCACATGTTTATGATTGGCTTACAATGCCTGTTTTTTTAAATCATTCATTACATTACTTCCTGTCTGACCTGTAGCTTAGTAAATATGTACTAACCACAAATTATAGTTCTGAATTGAATTTCCAATCAATCATTCTGTTTTGCACTAGAAATGAATATGCATGCAATAAGACAATACAGTTTACTGTACTTTGTTGTTTCTACCTTGCTTTCTATCTGTGTTGTATCTATTTCTTCTACATGACTTTGATTTAGATAGATGGACTCAGCTGAATAGCCTAATGGATGGTTGCTACAGCATTTCAGATCTACTTAACAAGAGTTTTTAACCTTGTTTTTAGATTATTTTGCCACTTCATACAAAGGTGCTGCATGGACCCTCCCCCACAAGTTGGCTGGCCCACTCACAATGCACTATGGACTGCCGGGGGCCTCCTCCTCCTCTTTCAGTGCTCCAGTCTGGGCAGGAACATGGCCTGCCCTTCCCTGCCTCCTCCAGCAGGTGGACTGCCGGGAGCCTCCTCCTCTGTCAGTGCTCCAGTCTGGGCAGGAACACGGCCTGCCCTTCCCTGCCTCCTCCAGCAGCCATCTACTCTGAGGAGGAAGCAGGACAGGGATTCTCCCCATACAGGTATTGAGTGGTCAGCTGCCATAGGAGGCAGGGAATGGAAGGCTGAGCTCCTGCCCACACTAGAGTGCTGATGGAGATGGAGGCCCACGGTGGTACATGGTGCATTGTGAGTGGGCCAACTGGCTGTGGGGTGGGGGTGGTTTACTTTGATTTGATTCATGTACATCTCTAGTTATAATTAAGATTCACGTGCTAAATGTGAATTTTTAAAAAATGTACCTTGTTCGCTGCTCACATTAAATTCAGATTCATTTAATTGAAGATCCAAGCAAACCTTCCATAAACCAATAATTGAGCAACATTATTAATACTTTTTTATTAATACATCTCTAGTTATAATTAAGATTCATGTGCCAAATGTGAATTTTTTAAAAAATGTACCTTATTCACGGCTGAGATTAAATTCATAGATTCATTTAATTAAAGATCCAAGCAAACCTTCCATAAACCAATAATTGAGCAACATTATTAATACTTTTTTGTCTCAGATTACTGACAATGATGCTAACAGGAATAGTGACTGCAGAAACTTAATGGCCTTTTTTTCTGGCCCAAGAAAATCAGTAGAGTTTTTATTGACCTTGGGTATAAGCATTAGATAATCTTTCTGTGTAACTGTGAGAAGCAAGGGAATTAACTGCAGTAGGTGTGCTTAAATGCAAGCTAAGCAAATGGAAATGGGTATTGCTCTTCTATATAGTGAGTTTTTATATCCCCTTATTTGCATTGTTATGTTCCATCAAGTCACTTATGGCAGTTCTATGAATTAATGACTTCCAAAGAAACCTATCATCATCAGGTCTGCTCAGATGTTACAAGCTCTTTGTATTACTTACAATTTTTCTTTTTCTTTTGAAGAATGACAGTGGTTATGACTTTCTGTCCGTGGAGGAAAAAGAATGTCTTATGTTTCTTGAAGAAACATTAGATTCTCTGGATACTGGAGCAGACAGTGGAATTTCTCCGAATGAGACTGAACCTACGGGGTCTTCCAGACACCCACGGACATGGCCTACAAGAGAGGTTCCCAAAGGTATGCTTGTTATAAGAAACAGTGGTGAGAAAACAGACCACAGTAAAAGAGAGAATATGCAATTGCAAGTTCTGTATTTACCACACTTGCTCTAGTTTGGTAGATAACTGCACATGTATATTGTCTCTTCTACCAAAAGGTATAGATTATTGTATAGCTAAAAGCCTTTAGTTAAAGGTAAAGGTTCCCCTTGACAATTTTTGTCCAGTCGTGTTCGACTCTAGGGGGCGGTGCTCATCCCCGTTTCCAAGCCATAGAGCCAGCGTTTGTCCAAAGACAATCTTCCGTGGTCACATGGCCAGTGTGACTTAGATACAGAACGCTGTTATCTTCCCATCTACTCGCATTTACATGCTTTCTATCTGCTAGGTTGGCGGGAGCTGGGACAAGCGACGGGCGCTCACTCCGTCACGTGGATTTGATCTTATGACTGCTTGGTCTTCTGACCCTGCAGCATAGGCTTCTGCGGTTTAGCCCGCAGCGCCACCACGTCCCCTTCTACAAAATAATAAAAACAAAGTTGACAACATAATGCAAACAAGCTAGACAAAGATACAAATTTGGCTCATATTTTCCTACCTGCTTTGAAGAAACATGAGGAAAATGAATTATTCCTAATAATTATTAATTAATTATTCCTACATAATTATTCCTTACCAACAACGAAAAAACAAGCAAACTCGATTGATGTAACAAAATTCCTCCTTGCAGCATACCCAGACAATTCACATGAGACTAAAAGAACATGAGACTAAAAGAACAATGGGTGAGATAGTGAATAGCATATTCTACTACATTTTAACAAAAAGCACAGGAATGATCCTCCATGGGGAGATTCTTATAGTAGCCATCTAAAATGGCAGAGGACATAAACCTTAGCTCAACGAAAGTGATTCTGCATGGAGTAATGGTAATTGTCTCAAGATAATTAGCTCACTGAGAATCAGTTTTAATACAGGATATAACTTAGAATATATTGTGGAATGGATAGCTAACATGTCTATGAAAAAGGATTTCTGAAATAGGAACAACTTTAATTGTAATTTGGGTATTAGCTAGAGTTGCCTCACATTAGGGCTCACCTAACAGTGAATGCAAAGTGAAGACTTGCAATTTAGAATCAAAAGCAAAATCATAGAGGCCAGCCATGAAATTAGCAAGCTAAAATCCTGCTATAGAAGTTAAAATTCCAAACTTGTATTCTGATCTGAACTGAAGGCCACCCCATTTGGTTGAAAGTATGTGACATCTGGGGAACCTACCGGAAAGCCAAAGACTTTGTTTTAAAATGTGTTGTATCTGTCCAGCTCAAAAGTTGCAGATTTAATAAATCTCCAGAACTGTATACAATATAATACAGCAGGAACAACCTTGGCCAAAAATAAAAAAAATAATATATATATATATATAGTTTACGTTACCAAAAACAGCCACTTTCATTTTCAAAAAATTAGCATTCTGTTGTTTTTGTCTACAGTAAACAAACCTGAATGCCTTTTCAAACCCTCCTTTGCCAGTGATAGGATAACCACGTCATTGCATGGCATGTTATAGAATATAAATCTTCCTATTTACTGAAGCAGGTGGGCATTTTTCAAAGCTCCTGCTATTTTTGCTTCTCACATGCCTCACATTGGAAAATTTCTCATATCCTGTTCAGCTTGTACAGTCATATCGAGAGTCTCTTAAATAGATGTTGTAAAGCATAATTGAAAGAAAGGAGATTTTGTTTGCTCTCCTCTTCCATTTAATTCTGCATGCTACCCATTTTATTTGTTCTTAGTTACTGAGCAAACTAAGTTGTTACTTTTCTTCTTCCTGAGGAACCTAAAAGTAAACAAAATGAAACAAAATAAAAATCTGAAGGACATTCCTCAGTTTTTTCCTTTACCCTTTTGTCTTTTCAATTTTGCAGAGCTGGATCATGAAAACCTTGGGAAGCAGCGAAAAATAGAACTGAAAGATAACAAATGTGTGTCTGATTCTGTTTCAAGTCCAGGCCACCATAGTCTTCCAAGAAACATCTATGTCAAACAGTCTCCTCTAATGCCTAAGGATTCCTTTGGTAAAGCAACAGAGTCTAATACTGAAAATCTGAAAGACCTCCCACAGATATGCCTGACTTCACGGGAGTCTCCTAAACATGAGACACAGTGTTTACAGAATGATGAAGCAAAGGTGAATACAGGGGTAAAGGCCTCTGATTTGGAATCTGTACTCATTCCCCCACCAGAACCATTCCAGGACCATTCCAGAAGAGGGCAAGAGCCACCACATCATAATAAGGTTCCTGAGAAAGATGCTGAAAGTAGGATGAAACCTCAGTTTGCAGTTAGGAGTGCTGATATGTTGGAGAGACATGAGACTGTAGCTGCCCAGCAGAAGCTTTTGTCAGACAGGAAAGAAACTGTTATAAAACCTTTGTCTCCTAAAAATATCAAGAAGAATTCTGAGCAAATGATGGATGGTCAAGAAAATTATAAAAACCCTGCCCTGGAAGACTCTCTCCAAGATTCCAACTTTAAGCAAGGGCCTCCTACTGCCCCCAAACCCAGAAAGCTGCCACCCAATATTATCCTCAAAACCAGCAAAACTAATGTTGTGTCATTCAATGTGGATCCGAATCACAAGATAAAAGTTCTGTCTCAATCCAGCGGTAGACCTAGAGCATCAACTGGTGACTTTTCCATGGAAAAGCCACATTCTCTTCAAAAAGAACAGGAAAGAGCGAGGAGAGAGGCTCTTGAGAAGCTGGGACTTCTACAAGATAAAGAAAAAGGTCCAGAGGATCAAGTGACTAAAGCCTCCTCCTCCTCAAAACCAAAAGAAACTTCTAGGACTAGCAGCAGGGAGAATGTAAATATAGATGTCACTCCAAATAAGGGACCTGAACAGCAGCATAACCAGGTTGATGGGAAAGGAATCTACCCAGTGGAGAAAAACATCCAAGGTGTCAAACAGGCAAATTTCAAATCCAACACATTGGAACGCTCAGGTGTGGGTCTGAGCAGCTCCATCTCTACTGGCAAGGAGGGACAGAACATTAAGAATAGTAATTCCACTGGCAAAACATCCTTTTTGGAGAGGATTACTCCAAATTTCCTCAGAGGTAGCCGGCCACGCCCAGCTTCCCTTGGCACGGGAAAAGACTTTGTTGACCTGAAGGATAATAAATTGCATGATGTTTTGCGGGAGAAGAGTGATAAGCGAAAATCTTACCCACTTCAGCAGCCTTCTAAGCTGCCCAGGCCACCTTGTGTCAGTGTGAAAATCACCCCTCAAGGAGCTGCAGAAGAGCACAGAAAGGAGGCTCTAAAAAAACTTGGCCTGTTGAAAGAGTGAGCCAAATAATAGGTTTCCTACAAAAAGACTATATGCTCATTTGTGGGCAATAACTTTGGTCATTCTCATCTCTGCCTGCATCTGAAAAGGGAAGGATAGTAGCATAGGCTGAATGTACTATGGTTTTGTCTAGTGTTAAGGCATGTTTGATAGGTTAACCAGCACTGATTTCATCTGTTGGCAGGAGGACTAGCATCTCACTCAGATTTTGTTTTTATCTCTATCTCTGTAGAGGTGAATTCTGCCATTTTAAATTCCACTTCACACCAAGTAGAAATGTTCCATTTGCATAAGGTGTGCATTTTGTATATAGTGTATACAGATATTGCTATTTGTATGTTACCAGGTATAATATTAACTAGAAATGGAATTTACATACTTTCTAATTAGTAGAGAAAACCCAGAAATGTAGATGTGTATGGGCCCCTTGTAGCATGACAATTGCCATGAGGCTAGAACTCCTTAGTAAACACAATAACAGTTGTTTTTGTTTTTGTAGGGGTGTCAGGAAAAAATGAATATTTAAAATAATAAATCATAATAATAAACCCCAGAGTTTTAGCTGTCCTCCAAAACAGGAAGAATTTTATTGATGATGTGATCACAAATGGCTCAGTGCCCTCAAACCAAATCTGGGCAAAGGCGATGGCATACAAGAACAAACAGATTATATAGTTTAATTCTTCTTAATCCCTCATTGAACTTCTCTTTATGTGGTTATAGTTTGAGGTTTTTTTTCAGTCGGGCATTGTCCTTGGACACGACACTAGTTGCGGATTCCTTTTTCTCTGCCTAACAAGGTTAAGTGTTATCCTGGTTCCAGTGTGATTGACAAAACCACATTTTAAGGTCACAGCCAAGAAGATTAATATAATTTCATTTAATATCAAGCACAGGTTTTTGATGAATATATGATTGATCAAATATTTATTCTTACAGAGGGGGGTGGCTATTACAATCTGATGCATACACTGAATCCTGTGAAATCACTAGAGATACCATATTTTCTTAGATGATCCATGGTCTTCATATTTAATGAACCCACAGAAATGCATGGGATATGAATCTTAAGCCTCAATTTGGGAAAGATAAAGTACTTGATAGTTCTTTTACCCTAGCTTCTCTATGAATAACTAATGATGAAGAACAACAGCAGTACTACTCCAACCAAAGTTGATTTTGTTTCAATTTAGCTTGCTATAGCTGCTTTATGTGAAGAAATTACCATTGCATGCTAACTCAAATCATGCAGTGTTTTAGAATGAAGAGTGGGTGGGTATCCTTTTAAAAGATTCAGTAATAAACTATTTTATATGGTAAAAGTGTTTGCAGTTTTATTTGGTTAGTAAAGCATATTTGAAATGACGTGACAAGTGTCTTATTAAAGTAGGTAATTGACATGGCTTAAAAGTTAAATCTAATCTATTTGAACCATAATACTAGATATTTTATGAAACTAGTTCTCAGTTCTTTAAAGGAAGAGGAAAGAAGATCCTTAACCATCTGCTGTCAAAGTTTCAATTGGCTCTCTCAGCAGTCCAGCACAATCCAGTCAGTTCTGGAGTTGGTACAAACATGGTCCAAATGAGCACCAGACAGATCTGCTGAGCTTTGTTTCTATGCTGAACATCTTCACAAACCTAGTTCATATATAGGTGGGCAAGAGTGAATTTGAGCATTCCTGTCTAGTTCCTTGATATGGAAAGCGGGCACTGTAAAACCTGGACTAGATGTTCTTAGGCATAGAAAAAGGACAAGCTCTTGTGACAGCTTGTTTGGCACTACTGCCTTCTGACAAAGGGACTGGTAAGATCTGAAAATCCTATAGAACAGTGGTTCTTAACCTTGGGTTACTCAGGTGTTTTTGGACTGCAACTCCCAGAAGCCTTCACCACCAGCTGTGCTGGTGGTAAAGAACCACTGCTATAGAACATACCAAGAAGATCATCAGAGTTGTCTGGAATGTATTTTGTAAACCACTGCTTTTCAGAAGCATAAATGACCTGGCCCCTTCCGTGGTCCAGGACTGATTTAGTTTCTGCCTTCCTGAAGGTGGCTTGGCTGCAGTATTATTCAAGGAGACATGAACGAAAGCAGCTTAGTGTCATATTGTTATTATGCTAGTATTGAAGATGATGGTTCTTTTCAAGGAAAACACAACCATGTGTACCTTTGCAATGGCACTGCTCACTTAATCCCACGGTTCAGGCTTCTGTCCTACATCGGACCTCAAATACCTTAAGAGCTGAGACAGAAAACATAAGCCAAACTCTTAGTTCAATAGTAATGATTACAACATAATTCAGATGTCTAACAATAATTGGCAATGATCTAAAATCTTGGTATTGCTCAGTTTTTTCAAAACATGTGGTTTACAAACTTCACTAATACATTCCTGGCCAATACAATCAAATGTTAGAGAGTTGTTGTAGTTTCATGAGCTGACTGTATTTCTAGTACTTAGGGGCCTTTTGTTCAAATCCTTGCCTGGGTATGAACTCACGGGGGCAGGGTTTGACAAGCACTCCTTCAACACCTATTAAGAGGTAATCCAATTTCATGTAACAAAATGCCAGCACCTACTTTATGAGCCTCACTGGTACTGGCCGCAAAATTTAGGTTTGACTTGCAGCCTGAGAATTGACTTACAGACCAGAAAAAAACCAAAATGGAACAAAAACGGCCTGTTATGGGATTAATCGGTTTTCAATGCACTGTAGGTCAATGGAGACTTGACCTACAGACTTTTTGACCTGCAGCCACCATTCCAATACGGATTAATTCTGTAAGTCAAGGGTCCACTGTAAGAGGTAATCCAATCGCATGTAACAAAATCCCAGCACCTACTTTATGAGCCTCACTGGTATGTAATAAAATGTAACCTCACAGTGGCTCTCCCCCATCGCAGGGAGCAGGGACCTATTGTTATGGTCCGCCCTCAACGGCTACTGGATCCTGTTGGATTCCAGGATGCCATGAGAGGTGTTACGGCTGACCTGGCTAGCGCTCCTATCAAGGCTCTGGTTGACAGCTGGTCCACCGCTGCCACCAGGGCCATAGACACAATCGCGCCTAAACGCCCTCTCCGTTGTAGAGCTCAGCCAGCGCCCTGGTTTAACCAGGACCTCCGAGCGCTGAAGCGTATGAGGAGAAGGCTAGAGCGTAGATGGAGGAAGAACCCGACGGATTATAACTGGATAGCTGTTAAGGTCGCAACCAACCTTTACCTGAATAAGGTAAAGGCTGCATGTCAATTTTTCTTTGCTAACCGGATAAGCGAAACGTCAAATCAGCAGGCAGAATTATTCCGTATAGTTCGTGACCTATCCGGAACTGGTTCGGGTGATAGGCCTCTCCCTAGTTTCTCACCTGACCAGTTTGCAGCCTTTTTAAAATCTAAAGTGGAGCCCATCCGCTGGGAGCTCTCTCCTTATTTGAATATAGTAAGTCAAGCAGAGATGTCCGGCGTTCCGTCTTGCCCAGTAACATTCAACACCTTTCAGCCTGTCATGCCTTATTCTGTAGCTAAGGTGCTTGACTGCCGTCGAGCCACCACCTCCTCCCTTGACCCTTGCCCAGCCTGGCTAATCAAAGCAGCCAGGTCGAAAACAACAGAATGGGCCACAGCAATAATAAATGAGTCTTTCCTTGAGGGCAGGTTTCCATCTGCCCTCAAGGAGACACTCATTAGGCCCATTAGAAAGAAACTTAATATGGCAGTGGACGAGATTGGCAATTACAGGCCTGTTGCCAATGTTCCTTTCATGAGCAAAGTGGTTGAGAGCGTGGTCGCTGATCAGCTTCAGGCCCACTTGGATGAGACAGATGACCTGGATCCATTCCAGTCGGGCTTCAGGCTGCGCCTCGGTACAGAAATGGCATAAATTGCCCTGTACGATGACCTGTTGAGGGAGGCTGACAGGGTTGGTCCTCCTCAACATCTCGGCGGCCTTTGATACCATTGATCACGGTATCCTCCTGGGGAGGCTCTCCGAGTTGGGAATTGGTGGCTTGGCATTAGCCTGGCTCTGTTCCTTCCTGGAGGACCGACCCCAGAAAGTACAGCTTGGGGAGAGTGTCTCGGCCCTGTGGAATCTCAATTGTGGGGTCCCACAGGGGTCGATTATCTCCCCAATGCTGTTTAACATCTATATGAGACTGCTGGGTGGGGTCATCAGGGGGTGTGGAGCCTCGTATGGAGCTTTACATCTCCTTTGTTTCAACTGCAGGTGATGCCGTCCTGTCCCTCCAGCGCTGCCTGGGGGGGCCGTACTACAGTGGATGCAGGAAATGGGCTGAGGCTGAACCCGGACAAGACGGAAGTTCTGAGCGTGGGCACCATTGGGGTTGGTGGCCTGGGTGGCTCTCTCACATTCTGGGGGGGGATTCTGGCTGCTAAGAATGGGGTTCACAGCCTGGGGGTACACCTGGACCCAACGCTCACCATGGAAACCCAAGTGGTGTCGGTAGTTTGCAACGCCTTTTTCCACCTTTGGCGGATTGCCCTGCTGCGACCCTACGTTGACATGGGGGTGCTCACTGCCTTGGAACATGCGCTCGTAATCTCAAGACTAGACCACTGTAATGCACTCTACATGGGGCTACCTTTCAGGTGGTGCAGCATGCAGCGGCCAGACTCCTTACTGGAGTGAGAAAACACCAACATATTTCTCCTGTTCTGGCCAAACTGCACTGGCTGCCCATCTGTTTCCGCATTGACTTCAAAGTTCTAATGCTTACCTATAA